CTCATGTATTTTGTACTTTTATGTAAACAAGTTGTTTTACATAAAACCGAGCTTTGAATGAACTTTTTGTTACTTATCAAACACCAGATTGATCTTCATACAAATAGAAACAAAGTCTATTAAGATCCAAGAGTTCAAATATCGACCAATCGTTCCAAGAGTCCAAATATCGACCAATCATTCCATCAGTCCAGTTCAGTCAATTTATTGACGAACCTACTTGTTGATATATATTTATATATTTATATACTTTATTATAACTTTATGTCATTTATATATAGTCATTTATATTATTTATAGCTTTATGTCATTTAAATACAATCATTTGTATTATTATAGCTTTCAGTCATTTATAGCTTTCATATTTATACTTATTTCGCAATTCTTATTCTTTATATATATATATATATATATATATATATATATATATATATATATATATATATATATCCACATCTTATCTCTTTAAAACTTTTATATATATATATATATATATATATATATATATATATATGTCACACAGTAACTGGTATCCGACTGTTTGTTTTGTTGATTAGTTTTTTATATTTCCAGTAATCGGTATCTGAACTGATATAAAAAGAATAATATCCAACATAAACCATTATTATTTTAAAGCTACAAACTTTTGAACAGTTTGTATAAAATATTTAAATTATAAACTTAAATATAGCATTACACGACCAAATAATATTTTGTAAATAGTCAAAAGTGATAAATTGTAGAGTCATAATTATTATAATTTGGTTAATAAGGTTAAATAAATATTAAACCTAAAGTGTAATCATAAATAAACTAAATTTAAATATTAAAATAATATATTTACTTCTACTTATAAAGTTATGTCTTTAACTTTTATTATATCATACTTAATTTATTAGATTTAATTTGTTGTTGTATGTAAATCATTATCAATTTAAAACTACAACTTTGGAACAGTTTGGACAAACTACATATACTGTTAATTTAAATATAACATTACAGTGTCAACTTATATATAAGTTTCAGTTCCACTTAGAAAACCTAATGAATATTTTGTGAATAGTTAAAAATGATAAATTATAAGTTTCAAATAAGTAGCTTAAAATAACTTACAATAACAATAGTTAAAATTCAGTCTACATAAATGATTATATTGTTATCGATAAAACAAAAAAAACAATGTATGATATTTTAAGTAATTATAATAATAGAAATTAAAACGTTAAGAAAATAAATTTTAAAAATTAATTAACAATAACAAAAGCTATAAATAACAATAAGCCATATATTATATTTAATTTTATTTATGAGTAACTCGCAGGTAAAAGTCATTCAAATGGTTGAGATTATACAGTTATAATATATATATATATATATATATATATATATATATATATATATATATATATATATATATATATATAATCATATAATTCAAAATAATCAATATATTATATCAATTTAGCATACGAATTATTATATCAAATTTAACAACAACATTATTGTTATATTTTTTTAAAATATAATAATAATGTTGTTGTTAAGTTTGATATAATAATTCATATTCTAAATTGATATAATATATTGATTATTTTAAATTATATGATAATATATACATCTATTATAAATGTATAATCTTAGTCGTTTAAATGACTTCTACAGTTGAGTTAATCATGAATAAAATTAAATATAATATATGGTTTAATGTTATTTATAGTTGTTGTTATTGTTAATTAATTTTATAAAATTTATTTGTTTAAAGTTTTATTTTCTATCATTATAATTATTTAAAACATCAAACAGTGTTTTTAATTTAAAAGGTAACAATATAACATTTTACATAAAACTATTATTATTAGTTATTTTAATCTACTTATTTGAAATTTTTTAACAATTATGAAAATATCTTTAGGATATATTTTAGTTAAATTGAGATTACAATTTCATCACATTCATATGAAACTCTCATTCATTTTTCCTTTCACCACATTCATTTGAAATTCCTATGACTGTTCAATTTGTTTCTAATAATGATTATAAGTTGGTTAATAATGTTAAATAAATATAAAACCTAAAGTGTAATCATATTATAAACTAAATTTCAATATTAAAAGAATATGTTTTCTTCTACTTATAAAGTTATGTTTTTAAACATATTATACTTAATTTATTATGTTTAATATGTTGTTGTATATAAATCATTATCATTTTAAAGCTACAACTTTTGAACAATTTGCATAAAATACTTCAATTGTTAATTTAAATATAACCTTATAGGACCAACTTAAATATAAATTTTAGTTCAACTTAAACAACACAAATAATATTTTGTAAATAGTTAAAAACGAGGTTTTTAAGCCACGCTTTGCTACGGGACTTAAAGCAATAAAGTTTGTGATACAATAAGTTATTTTGATTTATTAATTCCATTTTTTCTTATTATGACAATAGAGTTTGAAAATCTAACATATTTATGCAATGCATTTCTATTTTCCTATTTAGGCATTGGACTTAGAAACCCCCCAATGATTATAGTATTATACTTTTTAAATGTAAACCTATTAAGATATTATTGTTTTATTATAACCGAAAGACATTATGATAGCATGTTGGTTTGATTGAGCATTTACTGCGATTAGATGTAGCTATTTTATTTGGGGAAAGAATAATATAATAATTATGTCATTGCAATTTACAACAGTTTATGACATCCATGTTTTACATTGATAAGCTGGTTATGGAGTTATTAGTATGTTACAAAGAAAGTGCTTTCCAAACAATAAAGACATCACAATGTTTTTGTAGAAGTCACCTCCACTATATACGGATCCTGCAACAAATATTAACATGGGCATGCGTCAGAATATACTTACTTTCATTTTCCGCAATATAAACAATCCATTGAAAAACAAACTTTCAATTTCCATAATATTTAACTTCATTGAAAAACAAACCACCATCATACCTGTTGGCGTGACTACTTGCAACTTAGTAAGCATTAGATGCCCAAGATCATGCTCCACACCAGGGGACAATTTCATTTCATCAAAAACAAAAATTCAAAAAGGGTATAGATTAGGATATACTCACTATAGGACTTGTTTACAAAATAGAAAAATTGAAAAGATATGCAATTTATTCCAGCTAGGAAAGACGGGGACTTCTAAAAGACCAAGTAATTGACACTTATCATACTGATCAAGCTTGAGTATTTTTATAAAAATATCAACAAACGAACTTTCACAATAAATTAGTTGAACTTCCTTATCAATGTAAAACTCTCTTAGAAAAAATAATCCTTCTCTTAAATAGGGGTGAATATCGGGACCGATATGAATATATGATTGATAATCTAGGAAATGAGAACCATATGGTTATGGCCCTACTCATTCGCTATAATGCCAAAGATAATAAATTGAAAACTAAGAAAAAAACATGAAATTGAACCTTGCCCGCCTTCACATCCACCAATAGTCTACTAATGGGATGAAAACTGAAAATATGTAGATAGAAAATTAAGAAAAAAAATGAAACTAACCTTATCTCTGTTGCAGATAGAAAAACATAAAATCAAACCAAAGAAATTATAGGCATGTTAACTGTCATTATGAGAAATTGTGAACAAACATATATTACAATTCTTAATTTCGAAATCTGCTAAGTTTTCTTTGGACCACACATATCATCCAAACAAACCCATGGAAAATAAATACTTGATTATCATATTTTACAATAATATCTGTTCGTACCGTCAACAAACTGGTATCCCAGAGAAGACCCTCCAAGTGCAACCTATATCAAATCATAGAAACAAAATTAAAAGAGATTTTTTTGAGATGGAGATGGAAAACAATTGAAACTTGGTGTTGAAATGAAGGAGATCTTGTTCTAGCTCCTATACACCTTCAATTTCGTTAGGATCGAACCACTATTGCCTGAAACGTTAATTTTTTTTGTCAGAACCTTGATCAATCGTACCTCATGCTTTAAAAGTTGTATGTTTTCTAACCTAGGTAGTCATTTTTCTGCTTCTTCTACTCAAAAATTGGAAGTCACCATTAGCTACACGCATTGTGCTTTAACAAGTAAATTTCATTAAATGGACCATCTTGTCGTTATTAATTTGAACAACTGAGTTATGTAATTGCACAATCTTCTTATTGGCTTATATTCCGAAATTAAGAGTACTATTTAGTATCTAGTGAATCCAAACCCTCAGAGTTTCTAGACTTAATATAATTTAAGTACACTGTAAATGAGTTCTAAGTTCTAACATAAAGATCCACATGTCGCTTGTCAAACAAGAGATATAACAGCAAATGGACTATGCAGAACATTACGTCTATTGTATGGGGAGGGTTAAACACTGATGAAAATATAGTTGAACATGTTGTGGTTTACATTAAAATATACATGTTTTCACCTGAAATAGTACGGTTTCCAGATATGCTATAAATCCTTAAACAAAAACCAAAATCAATGATGAAAAAAGAGACAAAATCGAGGATGCAGATAACGATTTCGTTTCAAGATTTCACTGAAAGAACTGGAAAAAGAAATTACTTGTTACCTGCTCCAAATCGAAAAACCCTTCTTTCCCGATCTTGTTAATCTTCATCTAGATCCAAGCTCAAAAATCAAAAATGAAAAACAACACAGATTAGCAAACCCACTTCTAACATTTATTTTAAAAATTAAGGGATTTTACCTGTGTGGGTCTCAAAGAACAAAAGAAAATTGAGTTTGTTCCTTTTTAGGTACGTGGATCTAAAAGAACAAAAGAACAATCATGTAATATAAGATTCAAGCTTTTTATCAAGATTATGACAACCAAATTTCATCTCTTTACCCAAAACCCTAAGCGCGCGCACGCGAGAGAGAGAGAGAGAGAGAGAGAGAGAGAGAGAGAGAGAGAGAGAGAGAGACGTTACTCATTAGCCAGGTTTTGCTTCCCTTCACGAACATTTGAAGACCTTGGGCTTAGTTTCCCGCTTGATTTGATGACTCCCGATGCCTGTAACCGCCAGACCCACCACTTCAATGCTGGTGGTGGAGGTGACAATCAAGGTTCTTCGAGTGAGAACCAATGGATTTTTCACGAAACATGTGAGAAGTTTTGAAGGGATGGTGGGGAAGAGAGAGTACAGGAGAAGGAGCTTTCAATCGAACTGATGAATTTCTTTTGAGAGAGGGAGAGAGAGAGAGCGTGAGTGGAGGAACAGGGAGTATGGGAGAAAGTGGAGCAAAGTCTACATGCTACAGTGTAAATGCACTGTTGCGTGATGTGCTCTTATCTACACTGTTTAACATTTTTGACAAATGTTAATGTGTACAATGATAAATTGTAGTGTCTTTCTAATAATGATTATAAGTTGGTTAATAAGGTTAAATAAGTATATCAAACCTAAAGTATAATCATAAACGAACTAAATTTCAATATTAAAATAATATTTTTACTTCTACTTATAAAGTTATGTCTTTAACTTTTAACATATTATACTTAATTTATTAGATTTAATATGTTTTTGTATGTAAACCATTATTAGTTTAAAACTACAACTTTTGAACAGTTTGGACAAAATACTTAAATTGTTAATTTAAATATAATATTACAAGGTCAACTTCAATATAAATTTCAGTCCACTTAAAATACCCAAAGAATATTTTATGAATAGTTAAAAGTGATAAATTGTTGTGTTAAATGCAAAAACTAAATTGTAATATCAATTTAACTAAAATATTTCCTAAATATATTTTTATAATTGTTAAAAGTTTTCAAATAAGTAGCTTAAAATAACTTACAATAACAATAGTTAAAAATAAATCTACTTAAATGATTATATTGTTACCTTTAAAAAAAGATGTTTGATGTTTTAAATAATTACAATGATAGAGATTAAAATGTTAAGCAAGTAAATTTTGAAAAAATAAATAACAATAACAACAACTATAAATAGCATTAAACCGTATATTATATTTAATTTTATTAATGAGTAACCTGCGGGTAGAGATCATTCAAAAGATTGAGATTATGCAGTTTTAATAGATGTATATATTATCATATAATTCAAAATAATAAATATATTATATTAACTTAGTATACAGATTATTATATCACATTTAACAGCAACATTATTATTATATTAAAAAAAAACCGTATATTTGTAAAGATTCCAGCTATATAGTTATAAAAGAAGAAATTTTCTTTTCACAACATTTATTTGAAACTCTCATGACCTTTTAATTTCTTTCTAATAATGATTATACGTTAGTTAATATGGTTAAATAAATATCTAACCTAAAGTGTAATTATATATAAACTAAATTTTAATATTAAAATAATATCTTTATTTTTAATTATAAAATTATGTCTTTAACTTTTAATATATTATACTTAATTTATTAGTTTTAAAATATTGTATGTAAGCCGTTATTATTTTAAAGCTGTAATTTTTGAACAATTTGAATAAAATACTTAAATTGTTAATTTAAATATAACATTACAGGGTCAACTCAAATATAAATTTTAATTCAACTTAAAAAACCCAAAAAATATTTTGTAAATAGTTAAAAATGATAAATTGTATTGTCTTTCTATTAATGATTATAAGTTGGTTAATATGGTTAAATAATTATCAAACAAAAAGTGTAATCATAAATAAACTAAATTTCAATATTAAAAGAATATACTTAATTCTACTTATATAGTTATGTGTTTAACTTTTAACATATTAGACTTAATTTATTAGATTTAATATGTTGTTGTATGTAAACCATTATCAATTTAAATCTATAACCTTTTAACAATTTGGATAAAATACTTAAATTGTTATTTTAAATATAACATTACATGGCTAACTTAAATATAAATTTCAGTCGACATAAAAAACACAAAGAATATTTTGTAAATAGTTAAAAGTAATAAATTTTAGTGGTAAATGTAAAATCTAAATTGTAATCTCAATTTTACTAAAGTATTTCCTAAAGATATTTTATAATTATTAAAAGTTTTCAAATAATTAAAATAACTTACAATAACAATATTTTAAAGTAACCCTATATAAATGATTATATTGTTAATTTTAAAAATAAAAAACAATGTTGATGAAAACGTTAAGCTAATAAATTTTAAAAAATTAATTAACAATAACAACAACTATAAATAACATTAAACCATATATTATTTTTTATTTTCTTTCATAAGTAATCCACGGGTAGAGGTCATTCAAATGGTTGCGATTATGAAGTTTTAATAGATTAAATATTATCACATAATTCAAAATAATCAATATATTATATCAACTTAGTATACAAATTATTATATCAAATTTAACAACAACGTTATTGTTATATTTAATAAAACATATATTTGTAAAGATTTTAACTATACAGTCTGTGCAACGCACGATCATTCACCTAGTCATATCATACTATACTATAAGGAAGTATTTTTCCATTCACCACATCAATTTGAAACTCCAACAAAAACAAAATAAAAGTTTAATAAAACATATATTTGTAAAGATTTTTCTATACTATAAGGAAGTATTTTTCCATTCACCTAGTCATATCATACTATACTATACTTGAAACAAAATAAAATTAAACTAAGATCTAAATAAACAATCTCAACAAAAACAAAAGTTTGATGTAAAATCAACAAGAGAAAGATGGTTGGCTTCATGCTTCCTCACTTTGACTTTTTAATGAACATATCATTAGAATCCAATGCTGCAATACTTGTTTTAAATCCTTAATTTGGCTATAGTAATCCAAGGAGCTTGAGATTACCTAGACTTTTCTTAGTTGTTGAAATGGTTCGAGAAGCTCATAACAATTTTCTTAATCAAAGTCACTAATTCCAATAATTTGACATCCCCATTTTCACGGCAAGGAAAAACTGATTTCGTTTATTCTTTATAAAAATCAGAGTACATCTTTTAATAAAAATGTTGTGGAATTTGTTCCCAGTAAAACATGATAAATACGTTATTAAAGCATTTCCGAAGAAAACTATTTTTATTAATTTTAAAACATTTGGGATGTCATCGTCAATACAGAAACATAAGCGTAAACAAAACTTACAACTATAAATAACATTAAACCATATATTATATATAATTTTATTAATGAGTTTCCGCGAGTAAAAATCATTCAAACGGTTGAGATTATTCAGTTAAAATAAATATCGTCATATAATTCAAAATAATAATATATTATATCAATTTAATATAAGAATTATTATATAAAATTTAACAACGTTATTGTTATATATTTAAAAAGCATATATTTATAAATATTTCAACTATATAAATGTTTTTTTGCAACACGCAAACATTCGCTTAATATATATAATGATATCAAATCAAATGTTAATAAAAAAAACAAAAAAGAAAATAAACAAAAATACTAAATCAAATGTCAAAAAAAATTGATAAGATCGACTTTTTACGTAATTAACTTTTTTTTTTTTTTTCCTTTTTCCTTCATTTTGAAACGGCGACTTCTCAAATATCACTCCCACCCAAGACGCGAAGAGCCCAATCCCGTCATCAGCTTCGTCGACGAGACGACGACAGAGTCATCGGCTGCCTGTCGACGCCCTTCCGCCTCACTGCCTTTCGACGCCCTTCTGCCTCACAGCCGGTCTTCACGTCACGAGCTTTGTTTTGCTGGAAACAACTCGACAGTCGACTGTGTTTCATGGATATTCGACCGTGACATCACTGTTCACATCCCCTCTCTAAAATCGACCGACAACACCGACGTAAGTGGTTATTTCGATTTCTGAATTTCTAAAACATTTTGAGAGTTTCCGATTTCTATGAATTTGCTGTGATGTTCCTGTGATTTCTCATATCTGTGATCACTGTAATTAGCTGAATCTGATGTTAAAATCAAATGTTTCAAACATCAAATTGTTCCTACAACATTCTGCATTTTTTGTTTGTTTATTCTGACCATAATTTCAATGTAGACAGATTAAGGGAGTCTGTGAGATTGGTTAACTTATACAAAACCAAAAATGATACATCAATCTTTTATTCATACCTTTCGTCATTAGTAGAAACGTTGTTATATTGCATGATTCCATCAAGGACACCTTGCGTTTTGAAGCAAATCACAAGCTTGAAAATCAAAAATCAAACTCCACAACAAGAAAACACGTTACACCTTCATGTATATTGCATACAAAGTGTTTGATAAATTGCTTCCTAGTATATTGCATACAAGGTGTTCGATGAGATGCTAAGTAGCCTAAACTGCGACTGGTGTGGTATACATAAAACCCAATTGGGTGCTTAACCTTAATGAATCTTTTCTTATTTAAGAAGAACACCAAATTACTATCATTTCTTATTTTATTACTAATACGTTCATTCATCATGTTCTTAATTGAATTTGCAGGATTACTAGTTTAGCAATCATCTTGTACAACCCACTTCATGTTCTTCTATGCCAAGAGCAACAGTGAAACAAATCTCTATTCTTCAATCTCATGCCTATTATCGGTCATTTTCCCTCCAATTCACCACCAATGCACCCAAAAACATCAACATTATCATTTCCAAAGTTCAATCTGGAGCAACTTATGATGAAATTTTCCAGTCTCTCATGCATGATCAAGCATGTAGCATCATACCCATCTCTGACACCCTTCTTTCTCACCTTCTACACCGATTCAAAGACGATTGGAAGTCAGCATTGGGAGTATTCAAATGGGCAGAATCCATTAAAGATCACACACCATTACCAAAATCATACGAGATACTACTTGACATATTAGGAAAAACAAAACAGATAGAAAAGATGATGTCACTAGTCAACCAAACACATCATCATCATCATCATCATCATCATGTTACACTTGGTAGTATCACCAAGGTTATGAGAAGGCTTTGTGGGGTAGGAAAATGGCAAGAAGCTGTAAAGATTTTTGATGAGTTACACACATTTGGGTTAGAAAAGAACACTGAATCCATGAATCTTTTACTTGACACTTTGTGCAAAGAGAATAAAGTTGAACAAGCTCGCAAGATTTTCTTGGAGTTAAAATCATGCATCCCACCTACTCCTCATACTTTTAACATATTCATACATGGTTGGTGTAAAGTTAAGAGAGTTGATGAAGCACATTGGACAATTCAAGAAATGAAAGGGTACGGATTTAGTCCCTCTGTTATCACATACTCAACAATCATCAAGTCATATTGTCAAGATTCTGAATTCGGTAAAGTCTATGAGTTACTCAACGAGATGAAAGTACAAAATTGCCCTCCTAACGTTGTAACATTCACTATAGTCATGTGTTACTTGACAAAATTTGGGGAGTTTGAGGAAGCATTGGGAATACCTGAAAAAATGAAATCTTTTGGATGTGAACCCGATACACTTTTTTACAATTCCTTGATTCATACTTTAGCAAAATCCGGGAAAATTCAAGAGGCGATTTATGTGTTTGAAGTTGAAATGGCGAGATTTAGGGTTTCTAGAAATACATCGACTTTTAATACGATGATTGCAATGTTTTGTCATCATGGGAAAGATGAAGAAGCGATGAATGTGTTGATGAATATGGGGAATTTGGGAGATTGTAAACCGGATATTCAGTCGTTTAATCCTTTATTGAAGATGTGGTTAAGAACAAGAAAGGTGGATTTATGGTTGGGTGATTTGTTGGATGAAATGGTTAATAAGTATAATCTTAGTCTTGATTTGTGTACGTATAGTCTTCTGATTCATGGATTATGTAGAGTTAATGAATGTGAGTGGGCGTATGGATTATTTAAGGAGATGATAGGTAAAGATATTAAACCGAGATATTATACGTGTGCTTTACTTTTGGAGGAAATTAAACAGATGAAGAAATATGATGCTGTTGATTTTATTGAAGGATATATGAAGCGTATGAAATCATCTTGAGCACCAAATCTTGATCCACATGTTGCACTTTTGTTGTTTTTGTTATGATTTGAAATGGGATGATGAGTTTAAACTTGATACAGAAGACAAGGATTTGGAAATTGTTTAAGGAATTTATTCACCATTTTCATTTGACAATAATTTTGTTAACAACCCATCTTTAATGTTTTATTAACAACCCATCTTTAATGTTTTATCATATGGAAATCTCGTAAGTATATGACATTATGTATCAAGCAATAAAGTAAATTCATAAGCTTTCAGATTTTTTGCTAATAACAATTTAAAACATTTTACATTTCATAAAGAGATAAATAATATTTTGAAAAAGATATTTTGACATGTGTCCCATGTTAAAAAATATGACCATGTACTCACATTAAGAAGTTAGGTTGTGTAACTTCTAATGTTGTCATTGTCCAATTATTTCCTTCAAATTCAAACCTAGTGAGTTGTCCCATTAGAATGGTTTAATCATGAGTAATGTATTCAACACATGTAGATAAGCTTTCCATATGTCAACGCAAGTATTCTATCATTTATTTCATCCTAATATATTATTTACGATATTACATGGCTTTTTCCCAATATACAATACTTGTCATTTTTTAATTTCAAGCTAAGAGATACCCTTGTCTAGAGGTATGGTTAAATTCACATTCAACTAACCAATTTTGGTCCCTTTAATCAACATGATGTGCTTCAATAAGATTGTAATCATAAAATTTGTCCTATTTCAATACTCATGAGAAATATGAGTAATTTGCAACAAGCAACTTGTTATTTCATCGTGAGTAGCATCACCAAATCCAATTACACAAGCTTCTTTAATTTTGATTCCATTTCATGAAGACACAATCTCATATTTGCTCAATACATGTTAATAAAAGTAATTAACACGCTTACTCAACCTAATTTATGATTATTTAAACTTAAATCCAACATGAAAGATGTATTTTAAAAACTAAGGTTAATGAGAACACTTGAAATCTTTGAAATTATTCTAGTAAATGAAAAATAAAAACCTGTTTACTTTTAATCTGTTTACTTTTAATCCAAGTTAAAACAACTTAAAACATTGTTTTTCCTATTTGAAATCACTTGATTGCTCCGAGCATTGAAGATTTTTACCTTAGTCTTAACATACATGTACTAGAGAGGTTTGGCCGGAAAATGGCGACAAAACCCTTAATCTCATGGACAAAGTGAGGTCAAAGTTAGACACCATTCACATGGAGTGGATTGTATGAATGTATCTTTATGTTTTGTGTTGACCGGTGATCACACACCAACCACGATAATTCTTTTGAATTGGTTCTTTTTTATGACCGATCTTCATGATTTAAATATCCTTAAATGTTATATATATATATATATATATATATATATATATATATATATATATATATATATATATATATATATATATATATATATATATATATATAACACCTGGTTCGTGGTACATATTTTTAACTTAAGTATTTTGCATTTTGGCCTGGGATTCGGCGAGTTGGTGGCCAAACTTGTCGAGTAGAAGTGGATTGGACATGGGAGTTAAGTGGCTGACTCGGCGAGTTAGAGACCGGACTCGACGAGTCTGTGCTGTCTGGACAAAAACCCTAATATGAGGGTTTGCACCCTATATAAACACCTTAACTCAACCTCCATTGTCCCTAACACTCTCCTAGAGCTGCATATCGAAACCCTAGCCGTTTGTGTGTGTGTTAAGGCCATTTTGGTGCTTTTGTTGACTTGTGAAGCTTGGAATGAAGAAGAGGAGCTTGAGTATTCGACTTGGGGCTTGTGGATCCAGAGATCTCATTCCATCTTCAGCTTAATCAAGGTAAAATGCTCTTGCTTTGGTCTTTCATTTGGTTGTTCATCTTTAGATTGTAGATCTTGGGTGCATTTGGGGCTTTTAAAGCCATTTTCGGATTTAAGGAGTGTTATGTGGACTCTAGCTTTCTGATCTGAGCCTTAAGAGGGGTCTCATGGCATAAAGGTGCCAACTTTAGGGCCATGAGAGCCCCATGCACATTGTAGGACACTTTATATGGATTTTTGAGCTAAAAACCCCCATGCATGTGCATCAAGTTTGGAACTTTACGTATAAAATGGACATTAGGATGCCAGATCTATGGTTTTGGTGTGTTAGACCTCATTTAAATCGACTGTATGGAATTGGTCAAGGGTGGACTCGGCGAGTTGTTCTTGGCAATCGACGAGTCGGTGACCATTGTGCACCAAACCCTTCCTGTGAATGGGTAAATCTTAGGAAGAAAGTCCCTTGTGGGTTTAGACACGAAAAGGGACCCGGAAGCCATGGGACTCGGCGAGTGGTATGAGCAGACTCGGTGAGTCCATAGCAATCTCCCAATCTTTGAAGATGGACTCGATGAGTTGTTCATACAACTCGGTGAGTTATAGACCGGACAAGTTCTTAAGTTGGAGATGAACTCGACGAGTTCAAGAAGGAACTCGGCGAGTCGGATGAAGATGGTCCCGATGATATGATTAAAGGAGAACCCGTTGAGTTTTGCTAGACTCGACGAGTGGAGCCGGGGTTTTGTGTGGGATTAGTGAAGCATGGACTCGACGAGTTGGTAGTCCAACTCAGCGAGTCAGGTCAACTGAATGTTGACTTTGACCAATGTTAACTTTGACTGAACTTGGACTGACCCTGTTTAGGGTTGTATGTGATGTGTGTTGACTTGAAGGTTGTCATTTAGGGATGGAGGAGTTGTAGGGAGTCGACTTGTGCGCCGAGGATAGTTTAGACACTGCACGACATTGAGGTGAGTTACCTTCCAGTAGGGGTGGGTCTATGGCCTCAATGTCGGTCCACCAAAAAGGGGTATTTAGAAGATAATGGTCTTTGTGATAATTATCTTGGTCTGATTATGTGTTGGTAGTATGTTATGTGTATGGTAGGGATAAGTTTCCCTGACAGTGGTCCTTAGGACCCAAGGGTAGGTCAGTACCCGAATATGCCTGACTGTATGCTTAAATCTATTGATTGTATGTTAGTAGTAGGGGGTGAAATAGTCCCCAATTACTAGTTGAAAGATACAGATGCTGGTTACCGGTTGAAAGATACCGATGATGGTTACCGGTTGAAAGATACCGATGTTGGTTACCGATTGAAAAATACCGATGAAGGCTACCGGTTGAAAGATACCGATGAAGGTTATCGGTTGAAAGATACCGATGATATTGTATGGTATGTGGTATGATGGGGGAACTCACTAAGCTTTATGCTTACAGTTTTGGTTTGGTTTCAGGTACCTCTTCGTCGAAGGGGAAAGAGCCGGCGGCGTAGCAGCGCATCACACACACACACACATGTTTCCGCAAGAAGTATTTGGGACTCTACTATGATTTTCTATACTTATGATGTTATGGTTTGAAATACAACATTATGATTTTGTAATGGATGTTTTGTTGACAATGTTTTGGTAAAAATGTTTGTTAAATGCGTTAATTCAAAAATG